TCCGTGGGTTTGAGACCCGCCTGGGCAACTTGGCAAGACCTCATCTCTACAATAAATCAAAAAAAAGTAGCCAGGTGTGGTAGCGCGTGCCTGTAATTCCGGCTACTCGGAAGGCTGAGGCGGAAGGATCGCCAGAGCCCAGCAGGTCGAGGCTGTGGTGGCCAGGCGCGGCCACGGCACTACAGTCTGGGCGACAGAGTGAGACTCCAACGCAAAAAAAAAAAAAAAGCTAAAAACTTCTGTATTAGCCAGGCTCAGTGGCTCAGCCTGTAATCTCGCGCCTTGGGAGGCTGAGGTGAGTGGATTGCCTGAGCCCGCGGGTTCGAGACCCACCTGGGCAACTTGGTGAGGCCTCATCTCTATAATAAATCAAAAAAAGTAGCTGGGTGTGGTAGCGCGTGCCTGTAATTCCGGCTACTCGGAAGGCTGAGGCGGAAGGATCACCAGAGCCCAGCAGGTTGAGGCTGCCATGGCCGGGAGCGGCCACTGCACTCCAGTCTGGGTGGCAGAGTGACTCCAACTCAAAAAAACAAAACAAAACAAAACAAAAAACTCCTGTATTACTTAAATGTAATGCTAATTAGCTAGGTGTAGTCTCACCTATAGTTCCAGCTACTTGAGAGGCTTAGGTGGAAGGATCATCTGCGCCCAGGTTGTCCAGGCTGCAGTTAGCCATGATTGTGTCACTCACTGAACTCCAACCTTGGGTGACAGAGTGGAGACCCTGATTCAGTAAACAAACAAGGAAACAAACAAATATATTGCTGTTGCCTTAAATCAGCAGTCCCCAAACTGTTTGGCATCAGGGACAGTTTTTGTGGAAGACAGTTTTTCCACAGACTGTGGGGGATGGTTTCAGGATGATTCAGGCACATTACATTTATTGTGCACTTTATTTCTAGATCCCTTATATGTGAAGTCCACAATAGGGTTTGCCCTTCTATGAGAATCTAATGCTGCTGCTGATCTGATAGGAGGTGGAGCTCAGGTGATAATGTGAGTGATGGGAGTGGCTGTAAATATAGATGAAACACTTCCTGCTGTGTGGCCCGGTTCCTAAAAGGATGTTACAGGAGGCTTGGTGACCCCTGCCTTAGGTTGTTTTTATCCAGCTGCCCGAAGGAGTGGTCTAGAAGAAAACAAAAGCAAAGCAGCTGTTTTCTCCATCTGGGAGAGCTGAATGTGCTAGTGCAATTGTTCTTGCCTCAGCTTCCCACAGAGGGATTTGTTCAGAGGCACACCAGCTGAGTGTGCACTTGGAGGTTGCTTATGGAGTAGTGAACATTCCAACTAATTGGCACACAGAGTGTGTAGCAACTTAGAAATCTTCCTTGTTAGCAGATCTCAAACTAACTCCTCATACATGCAAAGGTCTTAAGGCATTGAGTAGTTTCTGAGGGCCTAGAGGCCCCTCAGCCCCATCAATATATTTACCAAAGGCAGGCAAGAGAAATAGGATGGGTAGTAAAAACAAATTCCATTTGTTTTCCCTTTCTGGTCCTTGGTTTGTGCATTTTCTTTTCTTTTTTTTCTGAGTCAGTGTCTCACTCTGTTGCCCAGGCTGGAGGGCAGTGGCATGCTCACGGCCACTACAGCCTCGACCTGCAGGGCTCAGGTGATCCTTCCACCTTGGCCTTCCAAGTAGTAGGAACTTACAAGCATGCGCCACCATGCCCAGCTAATTTTTTGATTTATTGTAGAGATGAGGTCTTGCTACGTTGCCCAGGCTGGTCTGGAACCCATGGGCTCAGGCAATTCTTTCACCTCAGCCTCCCAAAGTGCAAGGATTGTAGGTGTGAGCCACTGTGCCTGGCGCGGTTTGTGCTTTTTCTGTCTTGCCTGGAAAAGTCAGAATCTACTGGCTGGTATGATTCTTTTTGTCTCACCTTTTTCCTGTGCTCTCTACTTTGTGGCTTGGTTTGCCTTCTCAAGTCTTCAGAGACATTGCTGAACAAAGTAAACATATATTTCTCTGAACCAGAACCAAGAGTCCTGGTCTCTCTTGGCTTGCAGAGAGTGCACATACAGTCTTTTCATATAGTCTCTTCTGACACTCAGTTGGAAACCCTCAGTGGGTCTTGAAGACAGCCTTTCCATATCACACTCTCACCATGCCAGAGAAGTGCCTTTTCAAACTTTTGACTCTCAGAGCAAAAGAAATTTGCCTACATGTTAGATGTCAGCTTATTGCCCCCTTGTAGGTTGGAGTTCATAAGCTCAATTTCTTTTCAATAAGTGGGCACCTCAAATGTAAACCTTGGGCAGATTCAACTAGAGTGTAGAGAAGTCAGCGCTGTACTTAATGCCATCGTTATGCTTTATTTGAGATTGTGAAAGATGGATTATCAAGCAGGATGAAGCAGATTGACAGGTTTCCCTTTTGAAAAGTTAGAAGATATATTTTTAGACATTCTCTCTGCTTTGCCAAAACTGATTTGCATCTTCCAAGGATTCAAAGTGCTGCATGGTGCTGCCCCCAACTGGTTCTTTTGATGCTGATATTATTACCACATGAAAAAAGATCATATGATATTCACATTTGTTCTAAGCACTTTCATATGTACTATTAGTAGATTTTCATAACAACTAGTGTTATGTGAATTAGGTGGATCAGAAATTATCATAACTGCCTTATAGTTGAGAAAACTAAAAAATGGATAGCCTTATTAGTTGATTTGTCCAAGTTAAATGGCTATTAAAAGGCAGAATTGGACTATAACTCAAATCTCTTGCCTCTTATTCCATTATGTTCCCTAGTCCTCTGTAAATTCAGTATTATCTAAAAATAAGTATTGAGGGATACATTTTAGGCTTAAAGGAATTTCCCCCTTTTTCTCCCTTGGAAGGAAGAGGGAGATAATACATCCTGTTAGGTTTGAGTAAACTCATTTTTTAGCACCTGTCCTGCATGAGGCTGTCTAACTCAGATCCTGTGGTCTTCAACTCGCTAATGCAATGAGTGGTAAAGATTATGGACTCTGGAGCCAGACTTTAGAGTCAGCCTGTCTCTACCACTTAGTAATTGGACAACCCTGTGCAATATATCTTCTAAATGCCTTCTGTAAAATAATAGTCCACCTATCTTGTAGGGTTATTGTGATTAAGTGATATAATATAGGTAAAGTTCTCAGAATAGTATCTGGCACAATCTAAGCACTATATAAATATCAGCTGCTATTATTATTATAAATATTCTTACTCTTTTTTAAAAATATAAAAGCAAAGCAGCCCTTCATGGGTATGTAGTAATGATAAAGAACAGCCAAATTTCTTGAAAGAGTACCTCTTCACATAGTTTGTCCATATCCTTATTTCCTAATCATGCTTCACTGTACTTCATTCTTACTCTGGTCTTAACCACTTTACTGAAACTGCTTGTGGTCAAGGTTGCCAACGACTTCCTAGTTACAAATTCAGTAGACACTATTTTTTTTTGAGTCAGAGTCTCACTCTGTTGCCTAGGCTGGAGTGAACTGGCACGCTCATAGCCACTGCAGCCTTGACCTGCTGGGCTCAGGTGATCTTTCCGTTTCAGCCTTCTAAGTAACTGGAGCTACAGGCGCACACCACCACACCTGACTAATTTTTTGATATATTGTAGAGATGAGGTCTTGCCAAGTTGCCTGGGCTGATATGGAACCCTTGGGCTCAGGCAATCCTCTCACCACACCCTCCCAAAGTGCTGGGATTATAGGCATGAGCCACTGCATCTGGCTCAGTAGATACTTTTTAAGCTCATCTTACTCGTTTGTGGAATTCTGTTACTTTCCCTTCTTACATATTAGACCCTGGGCAATTTCATACATTCCTTGGAATTCATGACTGCAACGTTCAGTTCAATGTTGGCTCCTAAATGTTAGTCTCTCACCTGGACTTTAAACTTTAAACTGACTTTTTATAGGACAACCCCACCTTGGTTGTCCTATAAGCACTTTGTCCCAGGTGAACTCACTACCTTTTAACATTTCCTCTTCTTCTAAAATCCTGCTTATTTCCTTATACTCTGGGTATTTAATAATGATATCCAGGGACAAATAGCCTAGAGCTGGTTATTGCCCTCATTAGCTGGGCGTCGTGGCACATGCCTGTGGTTCCAGCTACTTGGAAGACTGAGGCGGAAGGATCACTTGAGCCCAGTAGGTTGAGACTGCGGTGGCCATGAGTGTGCCACTGCACTCCAGCCTGGGCAACAGAGTGAGACTCTGACTCAAAAAAAACCAAAACAAAACCAAAAAAATGCTTTCTGTTTTAGACAGGATAAAGTCTATATATCTTAGCAAATCATATCAACCTTACTTCCTAATTTTCCTGTATATGCAATCTGGCCATATTGAGTAAATTAGTTTCCTAAATGCACCATGCACTTAACCTGTAATTTTGCATATGTGGCTCCCTCTCTGTGGATTGTCCATCTTCTTGCTACCCCAGGTCGTCTTTTCCCACTCCTTTTTTCCTCTGCTGCTTTCTCTGACATGCCCAGATAGAGTTAGTAACTTTATCCTTGGTGCTGCATGGTGCTATCCTACCTGTACACAACTGTATTTTATTTTTATTTTTGAAAGCAGGATTTATTGAGAGGACAGAAAACCTCCCAGAGCAGAAGGGGACCCGAGGGAGTTGCCCAACTACAACTATATTTTGATATCTATCATATAATACTATCTGTCTGTGTTCTTTTTTTTTTTTTTTTTTTTTGAGTTGGAGTCTCACTCTGTCGCCCAGACTGGAGTGCAGTGACCGCTCCCGGCTACCACAGCCTTGACCTGCTGGGCTCTGGTGATCCTTCCGCCTCAGCCTTCCGAGTAGCTGGAATTACAGGCATGTGCTACCACGCCCTAATTTTTTTATTTTATTGTAGAGATGAGGTCTTGCCTGCCCAGGCGGGTCTCGAACCCGTGGGCTCAGGCAATCCACTCACCTCAGCCTCCCAAAGGCGCGGGACTACAGGCTGAGCCACCGAGCTTGTCTGTGTTCTTTCATAAATTGTGTTCTCCTCAAAGGAAGGTATCTTTGTGGGCAGCACCTACCCTAGTGCTGGAATGCAGAATAAGCCCTCAGTAACTTAAAAAAAAAATGCCGAGTGCTGTGGCTCACCTGTAATCCCAACACTTTGGGAGGTAGAGGGAGGAGGATTACCTGAGCTCAGGCGTTTGAGATCATTCTGAGCAACATGGTGAGACCTTGTCTCTACAATAAATAAAAAAATTCAGCCGGGCATGGTGGGGCATGCCTGTGGTTCCAGCTACATGGAAGGCTGAGACAGAAGGATCACCTGAGCCCAGCAGGTCGAGGCTGTGGTGGTCATAAGTGTGCCACAGCACCCTAGGTAGGTCGACAGAGTAAGACTCCAACTCAAAAAAAAAAAAAAAAAAAAATTAAATAATAGAAAAAAGACAAAACATGCAATCTTTATTTTCTAGATGTGTAGTCTCTAGTGGTTTCACCACCAGCCTAAACATTTCTGATAATTAGCAGCTGGGTTTTCATTCTGTTTTGTAGTATATCAACTCTGGGAACCTGGAACAGTTGCTGGACAGTAACCTGCATTTGCCCTGGACTGTGAGAGTAAAACTGGCCTATGACATAGCAGTGGGGCTCAGCTACCTTCACTTCAAAGGCATTTTTCATCGGGATCTCACATCTAAGGTATGAAAGCTTTACTTTCACAACTCTTTGAGAGACGCTGCCCTTCTGTTTTACTAAGAAAGCTGTGATAAGAAATCAATCATTAGTGAACTTAGCAATACGGAGATTTCCTATGGACTTAAGATTTAATCACAGAATATATAACTCATTACTTTTTTTTCAGTCGGAGTCTCACTCTGTTGCCCAGGTTGGAGTGCAGTGGCACAATCACAGCTTACTGCAACCTTGACCTCCTGGGTTCAGGTGATACTTCCACCTCAGCCTCCAGAGTAGCTGGGACTACAGGCACGTACCACCATGCCCAGCTAACTTTTTTCTTTTTTTTTGTAGAGACGAGGACTTACTGTGTTGCCTACACTGGTCTTGAACTCCTGGGATCAAGCATTCCTCCTCCCTTGGACTCCCAAAGTGCTAGGATTATAGGCATGAGCCATTGTGGCTAGCCCATAACTCATTACTCTTTATAGCTAGTCCTTAGAAAGCCCATATATCTGCTCAGAGCAGGTACTTTTTAGTTGAGTCAGGAAACACATACATCTTGAGAGCCTTCATGTTTGATTTCAGTCTCCTGAATGTGCGTCTCAGGAGTGAATGACACAAGCAGGGTTAAGAAATTCTTGCCCTTATACGAGTGACAGCAGTCAAGGCGGTGTGGTATCCTGTGAGTTTCCTCTCCCTTGGCCTCCAGGACATAGCTCTTATCTAAGAGCAGGAGTTCAGTGATTTTTAGTCACTTGAGTGCAGGTTTTAAGGGCCATAATGTACTGACCCATTTTCTGTCTATGTGATTGAGTTTCTGCCAGTTCCTCTTTGGTGTCAGCTGGTCTCTGTAGTATTCTCTTGGTGTCCAAATTGGTGTGTGACAAGGTTAGAAAAGAGCTGCTTTCAGAGGAAGTTGGCCATGCTACAAAGCAGGCATCTTGGGGCCAAATGGCCTAGGACACCATCCTGACAAGGCTTATATAAATAGTACCACTCAATCATTGATGGGGGAACTTTAAGGCCATTTAACATATCTGGCCAGGTGCAGTGGCTCGTGCCTGTAATCCCAACACTTTGGGAGGCCGAAGTGAGAGGATTGTCTGAGCCCACAGGTTTGAGACCAGCCTGGGCAACCTGGTAAGACCTCGTCTCTGCAATAGATAAAAAAAAATTAGCAGCCGGGCACAGTGGCTCACACCTGTAATCCCAGCACTGTGGGAGGCCGAGGTGAGAGGACAGCCTGAGCCCACAGGTTCAAGACCAGTCTGGGCAACTTGGTGAGACCTCATCTCCAAAATAAATCAAAAAATTAGTTGGGTGTGGTGGTATGTGCCTGTAATTCCAGCTACTTGGAAGGCTGAGGTGGAAGGATCGCCTGAGCTCAGCAGGTCGAGGCTGCGGTGGCCGTGAGCATGCCACTTCACTCCAGTCTGGGTAACAGAGTGAGACAGCGAGACTCCAACTCAAAAAAAAAAAAAAAAAAAAAGAAGAAAGAAAATCAAGGGTAGCCGGGCTCGGTGGCTCAGCCTGTAATCCCGCGCTTTGGGAGGCTGAGTTGAGTGGATTGCCTGAGCCCGCAGGTGCAAGACCTGCCTGGGCAACTTGGCGAGACTTCATCTCTACAATAAATCAAAAATTAACCGGGCGTGATAGCGTGTACCTGTAGTTCCAGCTACTTGGAAGGTTGAGGCAGAAGGATTACTAGAGCCCGGCAGGTCGAGGCTGCGATGGCCGGGAGCGGACACTGCACTCCAGTCTGGGCGACGGAGTGAGACTCCAACTCAAAAAAAACAAGAAAAAGAAAAGAAAATCAAGGCTAAGAAAAGTGCACTTGTTCCAGGCAAATGAGTGAAGTTGCATCAATTTAGATACTTAAGTTGATACTCTCACCTCAGGCACCCAGCCACAATCAAATCTTTTCTTCCTACTCAGAGTTTGTGACAAATTATTGATCAGTTATACAGATATTTCTCCATACCTACATGAATGTCTCCTGTGTCTGGCACTACAGATGAAGGAATATTAGAAAAGGAGAATTTCTGACTTAAAGATACTCCCAACAGTCTTGTTGGGAAATAACTAAAAAACAGTGCACAGCACGTTATAATTGAGTGTTCAGTTACACAAACTAAAGATTTTCAGAGCAGGGAAGATCACTCCAGGCTGAGGTAGCTAGGCTTCCTAGAGAAAAGGCCCCACTCCCTGAGAGTTTATCACATTCCCTTCCGTGCCCTGAAAGCACTTTGTCCTATTGTGCTAGTGTCCAAGTGTGGGCTTATTGTGTTATATTGTAAAAATGAGTAGCTTTTTTGGACTACAGGGTAAGACCACTATCCTTTGACTTTCTTATGGGGGGGGTAGGTAGTTCCAATTTCAAGTGGCTTACAGTGAGAAACTAGGAATGTAGAAGAGAGAACTCTCTGTGTTCCTGGGCTATGTTTTCTTGAATCTGGACTTTAAGGAGGTATTGAGGCTACTTTCAGGTGGTGAGAACAAATGACTTTAGCAAGCTCTAGAGGAAGGCTTGGAAGTACACTGTAGGGAATCTCAAATTGAAGATAATTAGTTAATCTTATAAACTAGACTGTCCAATTTGTGTTCATTGCCTTTTTATTGTCTCTGAACTTTTTCCAGTAGTGTTTTGGCTGAATGTTCTAGTCTCGTTGTAACTGTGTTGCAACATTTAGGGAGAGGGTTATATGTCCACATGTAGGCCAGAGAAGCCCCACCCAGATATTTTTCCACACCTACATGAATGTCTCCAGTGTCTGGCACTATTGATGAAATGTAGTGGTGGCAGGGACCCTAAGAATGAGAAGACCCAAGGGAAAAATAAGGTTAAAGAGACAGTTGAGGCCTCTGAAGTTTCCATATTCTCTCTTCATAGTCAACCTTGAGTCTGTGTTGGATTTTTACAATATCAGGCTTAACTGATATTTTAGTAGTATATACTTCATATTATTTGATTGTTCTTTTGTGTCTGTATCTCCCACCAGCATATAAGTTTCTCAAGTGCTCCTTTTATTTACCTTTGTATTCGTAGCACCTAGCTCAGAGCCTGTGAGAGTAAAGGCTTCCTTGCCTTGTTTCAGGGAAGGACTTGATAGCACAGAGGCCAAAACATCTGCTTCAGAGCTGAGATTTTGTGTCCCAGGTCTAATTTTGCCCATCTCTCTGAATAACTTCAGTTGACCTTGGGATCTTAATCTTCCCAAACTATAAAACAAATTCTGTCCTTGACCTCACAGAAGTGATCAGTTCATGAGTCTCAGACCATAGCTAACAGGGGGATTGAAAGTAAGAGGGAATGACCAGGTGCAGTGGCTCATGCTTATAATCCAGCAATGTGGGAGGCTGCAACTGGAGAACTGCTTGAGCCCAAGAGTTTGAGACATCCTGGGCAATATAGTGAGACACCCCCTACCCCCAACCGCAATTACAAAAAAAAAAGAAAGAAAGTAGAGGGAACATATTCCAAGCAGGTAAACCAGGACAGAGAGAAGTAGATGCCTTTTCCCAGATGATCCTGAGCCTGTGCTAGGGGTCAAAGGGATCCCTAGTTTCCTATCAGCATGCCTCCTGAAACTAGTATTGCCTTTGTAGGATTCTTGTCAGTGGTTACAGCAATACTACTCTAAAAGTGAAAACTCTGTCAGATATAGCTGTTCAGTCTAATTTAGTAATAGCTTCTAAGACACAACCAGAAATGGATCTGCATGGTGGCAATGTTAAGAACTTAGAAGGGAGTAGGAGGTGATATAGCTATAAACAAATTCAGTTCATGAGCTCTCAAGAAGTGGTAATAATAAAATAAAATAATTAGCCGGGTTCGGTGGCTCAGCCTGTAATCCTGCGCCTTTGGGAGGCTGAGGTGAGTGGATTGCCTGAGCCCGCGGGTTCGAGACCCGCCTGGGCAGCGAGACCTCATCTCTACAATAAATCAAAATATCAGCCGGGCGTGGTAGCGCACGCCTGTAATTCTGGCTACTCGGAAGGCTGAGGCAGAAGGATCGCCGGAGCCCAGTAGGTCGAGACTGCGGTGGCCGGGAGCGGCCACTGCACTCCAGTCTGGGCAACCGAGTGAGACTCCAACTCAAAAAAAAAAAAAAAAAAAAAATTAAAAAAACAGGAAATGGCAACAACTACACATAAGCTTTTACCAGTAGCTCTAGGAGTAACTAGCACAAATATATAAGAGCCTTGGCTCTTGGGGGCAGTTGAGAGAGTAGTTTATGTTTAATACCATTATTGCCCAGCATCTGGAAAGCACCACTGATCTTCTTTGGTTACTGTTGGAAGTATGAGTATGAATTATGAACTGCATCTTTAGTTCTTGGTTTTTTGTTGTTGTTGTTATGGTTGATTACATAGAAGCCACACTGGTGATTTCACTAGAATGAAAAGCCTATCTAGCTATGGTCTTAGGCTATGCCACACAGCTAGGAACAGAAATTGCCATTTTCAGAGATGAAGAGTGCACAAATTAAGAACAAAGTTCAATGCTGGAGGGATATAAACAGTGGCTACTAGGACACCCTGGAGTTATTTTTTATAATGAGAGCTGTCAACAACAACCGGGGACAATTTATGCCATGCTATTAGAGGACATAGTATTGGGGACATAAAAGTGACTAGAAAGCCGGGCTCGGTGGCTCAGCCTGTAATCCCGCGCCCTTGGGAGGCTGAGGCGAGTGGATTGCCTGAGCTCACGGGTTCGAGACCCGCCTGGGCA